TCGGAGGCCTCGACGAAACTAAACGCACTGTGATCGAAAGCATCGAATCAAACCTGCACGGAACCGGATTAAAGAGATCGGGGATGATTTTTTTTGGTCCTCCTGGTTGTGGTAAAACCCTCATCGCTAAAGGTAAACTTTGGCTTACTCATTGTGACGGATATACAAGCAGAAGTTTTCAGCCGTAGCAACAGAATTCAAAATTGCTTTTTTGAATGTGAAAGGACCTGAACTGCTGAACAAATACGTCGGCCAAAGCGAGGAGAATTTGAGAAAAGGTGAGGTTTTTTAAAAAAGCTCTTGGGAATTTAATTGACTTTCTTTGAGTCTTTGAGAGGGCTCGGCAAGCATCACCTTGTGTTATATTTTTCGATGAGCTAGATTCTCTGGCACCAAGCCGAGGGCGAAGTGGTGATTCTGGAGGTGTTACAGACAGGTAGAGGAACTATTTTATGTTAATTTCAAAACTTCGAGTTGGATAAAGTGTCTGGTCTTCAATAATTTCTCCGCTTTCAAGAACGTTTGCTTTAGGTAAGGTTCATCAACTTATTTCAACTGCCACAGCCAATCAGACTAGCACACACATAAACCTCCATCCTTAAAATTTCCAGCTTGTATATGCTGATAAGGCTAGATATTCGATTTTCTTGATTTTTTGATCTAAAAGGGCCAATTTATATCGTTATGCAACACAGTCTTCACAGAAATTGCAGGAAAAATTAAAGCGCAAATCATGCGTTCAGTGAAACTATATGCACATAAACACGTCCAATTTGCATACTTGGATGTTCTTCAAGAGTGGTACTCTTTAAAATGCATTCACCGGCATATTTCACCACTCTTGGTGACTGCGGGAATTACTTGAACATAAATCGCGTCCACCTCATTTGTCTACATCTGAAATCAAATGTGGGGATTTTTTGTTTCATAAGACTTCAACTTTAACATGTGTAACTGGGTTCTCCTTATCAAAGTTACTTAGGTTTTTGAGCTGGTAATGATCAACACTTTCTCGATGATTTCGAGCTTGGTACAAAAGCTAATGCCTTCCCAATAGATGCGATTCAACGCAGATAACAAACCATAGGGAAAATGTTAGAGTGATGCATCAGGCATTCTGGAAAGTTGGCCTCTGTTATAAAAGAGGGTGATCAGTGGTAA